AGATATTTTTCAAAGCCTTTGTGCAGTTTTCATCCCACTCGATTGAACTAATCAAGTTTTGAGTCATTCAGCCTAAGAAAATCCTTGCTGTATTTTTTTTTCCTGGTGCTTTTGATATCAAGATCGTCAATTCTTTTATCCTTGTTTAACACTCGGGTTATTTTTTGTCTAGCAAGACACAAAAACCCCTCTTTATTCTAAAAGAGAGCAGAAAGTGCCATAATATAAATTACGGAGCTTAAAATCATGTTGTAATGTTTTTTTTTTGGTTTGCAATCGATGGCACGCTTTATCAACACGAACACGTCCTACTTCAACATACCATAAAACTCCGAAAATAAGCCCTTCCATGTATAAGCCCCCCAAACTCATAACACAAAAAACCCTCCGTTAAATCGCCCCTCCAAATATAAGCCCCTCAAAAAATGACCTTTGAAAAATATAAGCCCGGGGGCTTATTTTTGGAATTTTACGGTGGAGCTTATATTTTTCAAAGGCCCTTTTTGAGAGGCTTATTTTTGGAGGGGCTTATATTCGGAGGGGCTTATCTACGGAGGGAAATTTGCGTTTCAAAATCGATTGGGCTAGCCTTATAGTTGGAAGGAAGTTTACCGTTTTTGCTTTGTTCAGTACTTCAGTATTTAAGGTCAACTTCCAAGTACAAGACCCCGGGAGGCTTACATTTGGAGGGGCGATTTAACGGAGGGTTTTTTGCGTTACCGGTTTAGGGGGCTTACATTTGGACGGGCTTATACATGGAGGGGCTTATTTTCGGAATTTTACGGTATATATAGGATCAGGTTAATTCAGCTGCTATATTTGGCAAGAGCATAACTCATAGAAGCCGGGATCATGGTTAACAGGAGCTTGTATACGTCTTCTAAACATAAACATAAACGTAAAACTTTATTTAAACTCGAATTTTAGAGTAGCTAACAAGCTAATATCTTCGAGCTGACACTACATAAAAACTATATAGAAAATATATATATACATTAAATGCAAAGAAAGAAAATATCATTTACAATTCACAATTTTAAGTTTAAGTATGTCAGGCAAAAAGAATCTACATGAAGGTAACATCCTGTATTTTAGTATTAAAGTCTGCAAAAAAACTGGTACGAAAAAAGTCCGGCAGTGCATTCCACTGCTTAGCTGAAAAGTAAGTTATATATTTTTTTACAAGTTATATATTTTTTCGTTTCTTTTTGTTTGTTTTTTAACGCCAGACACCTGTCAAGGGGTGTGTATGCATCAGAATCCAGCTAAAACAACAATAGCAACGCCACGAGTAACCGCCACCACGAAAGAAAGGACAAGTTTCAACATAGCAGATCCCACTTATTTCTCTTCAGGTTTGCACGGTTATATGTGTCTTTTTGTATGTTCACTGCGTGTTTTCTTAGGTCATGTAGGCGTCCATGATTCAAAGACGCATACTTCAAACCGCCTCTGAGATGAATGAATGGATGGCTAGATAAACAACTATATCAAATAAAAGAAGTAATTGATACAAATTAAATTAAATAGATTTCGTATCTGGAAAAAAAAGTAAAACGTCCCGCCGTTGGTCGATAAAGTACATTCCACTCAGAACTAGAATGCGAAATCTGACGGAGACACTTTGACTCTGACGTAGTCCGTAGGGGATTTTCTATTGTTGAAGCCTAGTGTTATAGGCCCTAGAAACCCAAGAAATGCGTTATCAGACATTAAGTGTTATATTCTTCTATTGACAGATATTACGACTTTGGCCAGAACGTCGAGTTTAAGTGAGCGAAAAACTGAAAAAGAAGATTCGTCCACAGTTGTCATTGTAGCAGCGTCACTAGGAACAGTGCTATTTGTTGCAGTAATTGCACTTGCTGCTTTGGTTTTGCTAAAGCGAAGAAGGCGGCATAGTTCGGAAGGTATAAATGATTTTCTCATAAAACATCACCTGTTAAAAGGTCATGACGTCTGTATGATATCTCTATGCCGTGTTTTCCATCGAAAAATGTCTACCTGTTGTGTTATTGGTCCGGTAACCATACTTGAAGTTAATTTCAATGACTTTTTCCTGAAAATTGCTATTACCCCGCTGCTTCCTTAAGTTTGTAGTCGTCACTTCCAGATTCATTGTTAAAGGCCTATAAACCTTTCCTCAGCTTCATACTAAATCGCTTTACTTAACAGGCTTCAGTTATCTTAGAAGACTTTAAACAAATTTCTTTCATCGACAGATAGAGATTTGCATTATGAATTTCACTATCGACGTCTCAAATAACTATGAATCGGAATGCAAAGCTGGTTCGCAGTGCACTATTCTACTCCTCACGTTTTCCTTGGGATCGTCGAGACCTAGCGCTTATCGTGACTAGCCAGTGGTGATGTTTCGGTGTAAACGCTGGACTATTTTATGGCGAAATAGGGGACTGTGAACAATGTATGCGCTGTAAATAATAGCCATTCTAGCTGGTTAATGTATTTGTTCTTCTTCTTCTTCTTCTTTTTTTTTTAAGATTCTGAAAAGACCAAGAAAAACGTCCTGTAAGTGTTATTTTTAATTTTAATCATCCAATGCGTTTTCAAACTTATGTTACGTTATAAACACTAAGAGTTTCTGTTTTAGCTATATATATAATGTACCTTGGATTATCCTTTAACTTACGTCATGTTTTTTTTGACATTCTGTTCCTAAACAGTGGCGGATCCCCCTTATTTCTGAACCAAACTGAGGCCTGTAAGAATACCCACTTATGTGACTATTCAAGTAGCCCATATGTGCGTTCATAATATAATGGTCTTTTTAAAATACTTTGATTCCTTTTGTTAATTCAAAGGAACCAGCCAGAGAACTCGTACGAATGCATCCATCCTGTTGAGGCTGCAAAACTTGGGGCCCCAAATACCGGCAAAGTTAGTCTCATAAAGACTGAACCAGTAGAATACGATATGGTTAACAAGAAAGAGGGCACAAAGGTATATACAACATACGAAACTCATTTTAAATACAAAATGTACAAAATCATAAAAGACCGTGTGCATTGAAGATTTTGTTTCACTGTTTTTCGTAATGTGGGTCAGCAATAATTGATCAAACCAAAAGATAATGCGAATTATTATGAAGTAGACTTAGTTTACTTTTTTCCGGGAGAACAAAATATTAAAATAAGTGATGCTCTGGTTATTAACGAAATACTAATTAATGTGGTTCGTTTTAAAAATAAATCGGTCCGTATCATACTCTGTTTTTTTTCTAGACAGCTAGGACCCCAAGTAAGCTTCAATCGGGAATTTGTTGCTCTTAATAATATATACAGTATATGGTCAAAAGTATTGTCGACAACTTTACCATATATGATATAAGTCAACCTTTTACCCAACAAAAGAATCCTGTTTTACAGCAAAACAATGGAGATCACGCGGGTGTGACTAAACAGGCACCTTCCAAAATGGACCATGAGTACGATGTGGTTAACAAGAAAAACCAAAAGGCAAGTTATAATATCAGTTATCCGTCAAAAAGACTTCATCTAGAAATAATGGACCAGTTTCTTGTTGTATTAGTATTTTTATTACCTGAATGTGGAACAATTTACGCTTTACCTTGGAGTATTTAAGAAGTAAGAAAAACTTTCCCTTACATTTGCGAGCAAGGAAAATATTTGTGCCATTTCAGCTGCCCCCCGTCGTCACTGATCGCCCGCTTCCAAAGGCAAAAGGCAAAAGCAGGTCACTGAGCCACCTACAAAAGGACATAAAGGCTGTTAGGGTCGGACGCAAAAGACGTAAAAAGCTTTAAGTCACCCTCTGTGACTTTAACAATGAGTCAAACATAGCTTTCCACTTAATGTATTTTCTTTCTTTCTTTTTTCTTCTTTTTAGTATAATTCCTTTTCTTATTTATTTTTATAGCAAAAGAAAGGAGATGTTTTATACGCCCAGCTTGATATGCCTCAGTTAGACGACGCCGGAAACAAAACCAAAGTACGCAAACCTGCTCCGTACGCGCCCACGGTATATGCTGACGTGAAACCGACAGGAGTGATAAATAAGGCGGAACCAAATTCAAAGCTACCAACATACGAGAACGTACAGAAAACAACCGTTGGAGTGTAATTATAGGTGGACACTATAAAATGTCCAGGTGTCTTGCGAAATTAACCAAAAATAACGTTAAAGAAATAAATTTGATATTCTCAATTATGACAACCGTCAAGGACTGGCTCATCTCCAGTTCTTAAGGGAAAGCTTTAGGAACGAGCTCTAAAGTCGAACCGTCGAGTGGTCGAGGAGAAACGCCAAGGACGCGCACTTTGCCTAATTAACTCGTATTCTACCTCTTAAAAAAATGCCTCTGCTGTCCCCTCCTCCCCAAGGAATGTTGACTGTGTAGAAACAAAACTTGAATGTATAATGTCAACACTGCAGCGCGCGGGAAGGAAAGGGGGAAATGCGTCATTTTGAAGCAGCCTGGCATAAAAAATAATGATAATAAAATTTAGTAAAATAAAATTTGAAAGAAATAAATGGATACGTTATTATTTAGTTTCTCAGTCAACTGTGCAGCTGATTCGGTGGTCGAGAAATTCCTACAGGTACGAACCTGGCAAATGCAACAATCTCAGTCATTGGTCATGGTAACTTATGAAAATTCCATCGTGTATAAAAGAAAACTCCCTCGCCTTTCCGTGTCTGTATCAGGACTAGTTGTTCCAAAGGGGATTTAGTCCCAAAACCTTTCACCGAATGCATTAACCCTTATTGGCAGACCAGCGGGGGCTTTTGCCCCCCCACCCCCTTCACTTTAAAGTTGCAAAAAAATTCAAAGCTAGCCGTTCAATCTATGACCGCCTAAGCCTAAAATTTTTCTGGGAACATTGTCAAATCATGGGGACGTTGCCATGCTATGTGAGTTTTGACAGCCTTGTTTTGGTTACATTTTTGTAGATCCAAGATGGTGGATGGTTCAAGTTCCTTCTAGACTACGAGTAGTCCCCATTTTTCTTCAGGGATAGTAGAGCGAGCGAAACGCGAGTGCGAGTGAAAATCACCCACGCGAGAAAAGGCGACACGCGGCGGGGAGAGAGAAAAATGCCGCCGCGTGTTGCCTTTTCTCGCGTGGGTGATTTTCACGCGCGCTCGCGTTTCGCTCGCTCTACTATCCCTGTTAGTTTTTAGTAATAAATGATGTTATCATGACATCGCTGACAACATTATTTGAGTTAAAAATTACCTTAAGGGCTTGAGCCAATAGGAAAACACATCCTTTGTGAATTGTTACAGTTACGATTTCGTGACCTGTGAAATCGAAGTAGCTTGTCGGATGAAACGGTGGGCATACTGAAAAAAAGAACCGTGTTTCAACATTTTACTTGCACACGGGGTATTTGCGAATATGTTCTCAGTAGAATTATCTGTGGTACTTGCGGTTGTTTGTGGGCTTCTACCTTTTGACACGGGTAAGTGCTGAAATCAGGCCATAAATATACAAGAAGGTGAATGGGCCAGTGTAACCTTAAAACTGTTTTTCACTTTTATGATGTGCAATGATGATGACATGAATTTGTTTCAGTTTGGAATGCCCTGGTTTCTTCTTTCTGCTAAACCGCTATGCCCTCACTTCTAAATGTGCGATGGATATTGTCTGAATCCGCAGATCAGTTTGAATTCGCCTATTACCTAAAAAAACAATGTTGACAAGCTAAGGGGAAAACTTTTTCACTTTTTCCCCCGGCGCGGGCTCCCATTACCGTCTCCAACGTATCATAATATTATATATAACTTTATTAAGGCAGATAATTTTTTCCTGTAAAACGGTAATTTATAAACCCAGCGACCCTATAAGTAATTAGTAGAAAATACCCACCATGCTCATTATTACAAAATGCTGACAATTTCAGTTATTCTAGACTGTTCACAGTCCCCTATTCTCTATTTAGATCGTCAGAATCGATCACTCGCCGATACGGGGGGGGGGGGAAGGAGGCGATCTTGGGGCGTCTTGGTTTAGTAGATTAAGACACTCATCCTAATCCAAGATGGTCTCCCGATCTTACGGAAAAATAGGGGACTGATCAGTCTACAGTCGTCATTCCTTTTTCTTTAAGATAACTAACCCTTAATGCCTTGTCTCAAGGAGAATGGCTGATAAAATCGAGTGAACGAGGGCTATTTTTATTTAGACAGGAGGCTCCTGGTTGAGACAGTCGAAACTGGTACATAGTACATTAATTACATTAAACCCGCCACAAGCACCCCCTCACCCCCGGTCTGAAAAAAAAAAAAAACAAACAAAAAACCAAACAAACACTTTTTCGGTTTCAGCTGGGAAACATTTTTCAGGTTCCGAAAAAATTACTGCACTCTTATGTTTTAATATTTTAGGTACACAAGCTTCTAGTAATTATTCAGGTACGTATTATTCAATTATTAGTAAGGATTGTTTCATTATATATTCAAGCTTGAAGTGTTTGATGAGGAATTGCTGTCAGAGTGCCTGCTGCAGTCATCCTTCCTCTCTCAACCACTGGTATCAGTGATTTGCCCGCGTGGCAGTTCCCCGCCCCTTTTGACGCACCTTAGCCACGTGGGTTATCAATGATAGATGTTACGTTATTTAGAAATTATTGTATGAGGTTGATTATGATCTAAAGAATTATTCAGATTGAAGAGCTTGTCATCTGCCGAGTCGCGAAGGCCAATGAGGGCGCACGGATAACAAAGATCGAGAGAGATCTGCATAATTCTTCTAATCATGCGAAAGCCAAATCCAGTTATGGTTTTATTATTCATTCATAATTTCTAGTTTTAAAACAAGCCGAAACGTGCTAACCTCGATCGATGTAAAGTTATTGTCCTTTCCCTTCTGTTCCTCGGCAAATTAGATGATAATATGATGACATATGCTTTGCGTATAGTACCCTGCTAGCAGAGTCCCTTCGATCTTTCCTATTTATCTAGGAAGATCGAAGGAGACTCTGTTCGCAGGGTATTTGCGTAGCAGATATTGTTCATATTGCTGATGCCATTCCTTGAGTTGTATTTTTGCTATTGTTGCCATAAGCCAGTAGTTCGGCTATCCAGTTTGAGAAATTTTCTCCAAAGAACGTTAATTGCAGCTTCAAATATTTTTATAAAGTGCCTTATAAGCTCCAAAACAAAACTATGCAGTCATTTTCCAGGATTTTTTCTGATTTTCAGATATTTTTAGCAGGTACCGTATTAAAATGGACAACATAATTTTATTTCAGCTGACTGGCCTGGGCATCATTTACGTAGAATATAATTTTCTGATAACGGTCGCAGAGTATTTTTCTCCGTTCTCGTAAGCTTGGAGACAAAGGGAATTTTCTTTTTTCATTGGTGCAGTCACATAAAACGTTAAGAATTATCAACAAGAAAGTTACTTCTGGTTTCGATTTACACGTTTCAACTTCACTATCAATACTAGAAAGACTCGCTGGAACTTTCTTTCTTCTTTTTCTAATAAAACTTTATGTTCCATTTTCAAGACACCGATGAAGTGCAACAGAGCTCGGCCTGTTTAAATTGCTGGAAAGCAGTAGTTTTGGTAGAAGGGGTCTTGCTTGCTTTTCTAGCTGTCACTGTTGGGATTTTAGTGGTAGGAGGACGCGCCAAACGTATCAGAAAAGGTACGTAAATAATCGAGAAAATGCATCTTTATATTTATTGGCAACCTATGTTAGCATGTCGTACGTAACTTTAAATTTGATCATCAACATTCAAACCCTATGATTCGATTAAGTAGGCAACGAATATAGTGCACCGGTAAAGTGTAAGTGCAGGCATTGTATGTGCTAATGCGAGGTTCTACCCTTTTTGCACTGTGACCCTATAGCGGCAGTGTCAGACCGTAAAATATTGAAGAAACTACGATGGAATTTTAATTGGTTATACAGGAAGAAGCTAAATTCAATTCTTTCTACTACATGATGAGATGTTATTGAACACTCATACCAAAATAACGTTTTCTTTTCACGCTACAGCTACCATGTTTATTTACAGCAAGTGAAGTCTATTTCATGGTGTTCTGCCATGATGCATAAAAGGAACTCATTACTTGAATTCAATTGATTTAAACGCCGATGCCGTATCTCACTAAAAACGATTGCTTTCCTTTTTTTTCCTTTTAAAAATATTCTGGGACCCGAGCATTTTTTTTAGCTAAAGAAAAATCTCCCGTCCTTTCATTAAAACTATAAGCTTTTAGGTTGCACTGAAGAGATTCAACCAGGGCTCGTTAATACGTCTTCGTTCAAATTGTGCTTGCATGCTGAGAATAATTATCATAAAGAATGAAAGGGATTTTAGCACATTGACAAGAAAAGACTTTTTATTGGTTACAGCTATATTCACCGAAGTTAGCGTAGAAAAGTAGCCTAAGAACTAATAATCTTAGCCTTTTTTTTTAATTTTTTCTCTTTCTGTTTGTCTTTCTTTTTGTAGCAGCTGCAAGGGATAAAACTACTGAAAGGTACAGCTCCTGCCAAAGTACAGTCTCGGGGGAAATTTAATAAAATTTCTAGAGGTGTAATTTACAATTGTGGCCGCTAGTACAATTGTAAATTACACTTGCAAAAGTTTTATTAAATTGACCCCCGCAAGAACTTCATAGTTGACAGAACAAAAATTAACCGCAAAATGTCTGTGTGTCCATTTACACCGACAAACCATCCTTCAAAAAGCGGACTTCAAAATCCAAAACGAAGCCGCCTTAAATGTCTTTTCCTCAGGCTCTTTTGTGACCGGGTTCAGTACGCATCATGTTGAATCAGTTACAAGACGGCCACTAAAAGTTGTGTTAAAGAAAGAATCATCCCTCCCCAGATTCAAAAGAGGCTGCTAATCGACCCTGAGCAAAACGTCATCAAATCCATAACAATTAAATGGAACTTTGCGGTAACCATACACATTTTGTAGTTACAAAGCTCCTCTGTCGTTCTTGAGATTTGTCTGTGTTATATATGTCAAATACCGTGCGCTGCTGAGAATCTCCAACTACATTTAAACAGCATTATGAATTTGAATAGCGCCATCTTATAAACAAAAACGAAAACACTCTCAAAAACTGTTCTCCACATTTACCTCTCCTTTACGTTTCATATCTTTCCATTGAGACATATGAAACTAAACCAAGTAGCTTTTACAAGAAGCCTGAAAAAATTGATGTCATACGGTTAAAAGATTTGTACATAGTTTTATTTTAGTAGTTCTGTACATATTCTGATATTTTTATATTATATCTCAGTGTTTTGGGGTTTCTTCTATTTTTGTTTGTGACAATTGCTACTTGGATAATAGCAGCGAAGATGCTTTCAATACTGTGATGAGCTTAGTGTATTAGACCACTTCATATTTAATTAATTTTACTGAATACGCAATAAATCGTTTGTAATTTATTACTAATTATAAGATAATTAACTTTCCCTCAATATATTGTATGTATTTGTAAATTACTTTATTATATGCTGTTCTTTATTTATATAAGTATATTGATTTAATTAATAACTATTATATAGTAAGAACTAAATCTAATGTAAAGAGAAAGTCTCACCTATAAGCCTTCATGGCTTCTTGAGACTTTCTTTTCTCTCCTTCACTTTATATGTAAAAAAGGCAAAAAACAAAATCAATAAACATTACTCAATAAAGGTTACCACTACTACGACGACGGAACTGAATTGGACGTCCTCAGTATGGACCCCAAAAAATTAATAAAATATACATTCATCAGATTGGTTCCTGATCTCAGCACTTTTATATAATTGTACTTCTCCAGGTTTGAGCTTGGAGTTAAGAACACATCATTGTTGAATCCAGCGGAGGATGTACATAGACGACAGGCCGGTGTGTCTGATGAAAACGAAGAAGGAGGGTGCGAATCCGAAACAGTACAATCTGGTAGGATGGAATGTGGATACGACACGTTGCGTCGTCTTTCAACAGTAAGTTGAATCATCTCTCGTTTGATTTCAGACTTTTCAAGAACTTACGTATAGATCACAGAGGAATCGAAGAGTTATGAAGTCTCTTTGTCCCCTTAGTGCTAGGAAATTTCTAGCTGTTTACCACCCCGGTACTGCCTGTGATACTGCTCTGACATATGAGAACAAACACGTCCGTACCGCCGGCAGATAGGAACATGGCAGGTCTTTTCTGCTGGCACGCTTGTGAAGTTTAACTCTAGTCAACTTCGCAGGACACTGGAGAATGGATTGGCCCCTGTTACCGGCGACTTCTGTTCTCAACCCAGGCAGTAACAGGGATTAAGTAGCAGGTAGCTCAGGTGTTGAAAACCATCAAACGAAGTTGATGTGCTGCGTTAGTGTCCGGGGGGGGGGGTGTTTTCTTTTCGGATAAGCTTAGCTGTCCTGTACGGAAGGAAATCTGGGCTGCGTTCTTGGTTGCGTCAATCCTGATTATTGACATCTTTATTATCATTTTAAGCATTAACAATGCTCTGGCATTCACTCTATCAACACTCGATTTCAATGTTACTCTCTCAGAAACCAGGAGAAGGCTCCTACACCTCTCTTACAGCATGCGGCAGGGGAGCCTGCAGTGACTCACCCATATATGTCAATCAAGTGCCTTCTCCTCAATACACGTCGAATGGGTGATTTTCTGGCACTGAAAATCCGGCCTGCGTAGATAGATGGATTACCAGACGAGTGCTGTTGTTGTTGCCTTGGGATTGGGAGCAAGTCAAAAATCTATTCATATATAGATCCTTCAAGACATTAGAGTCTTATAACAAAATTAATATTAGTCGATCATTAAGTTATTTTTTAGTTAATTTCATGTATTCGAACAAGTTGTAGATCGTTGAATGTCAAAAGTATAATTCAGAATAAATTGTAATTGATAATGATTTTTTATTGTCTATAAAGTAAATGCCTCTTATTAGCCGAGTTTTCGGTCTGTACTGTAAATTACGGACCGAGTTTTTTTCCATCGATTTATGGCCCAAGCGCGAAGCGTGCGGGCCATAAATCGATGGGAAAAAACGAGGATTCGTAATTTACAGTACGGACCGAAAAAACGAGGCTAATAAGATGTTTATTATATGTCTTCTTCCATTTTGGGGAACCGTAAAAAAGTGCAGGACGCGCGATTTGACACTCATTTGACAGGTATCAAGAAAGAAAGTTTTTATAGGCTCTCAAAAACAATAGCACACAACAAAGTGTTTCCGAGAAATTGAAAACAAATTCGCCATGTTGAAAAAGTTTATTTGGTGAAAACTAAGAGCGCTGTAAGTTTTTGCTCTTTAATGTAACGCTGGAGTATTTTGGAAACCGGGCACTGTGTCTTTTCGAAGTCGTTTCCATTTTTCCTCTGTTGGTCCTTGTGAAAAAAAACACTGCAAAAGGCAAAGAAGCTTTTCAAGGTAAGTTTGTTGTCATTGTCCAATGATTCGCTCGTTAATTGTTTTGGGAAAACCTCTCGATTTCTGCCAGTTCATTCTCGTCTTCAAGCGTGATCTGCGTTAATATTTTCTGCCACGGAAAGGATACGATTCAGTTTCTACACCACCTTCGTTCTCATTCAAACAAAGCTAGGTTAAAATCAGGAAAGGCAAAGTCAACATCCCACTCCTCAGGGTTTACAGACATATTTTTAAGTATATTCGGTCAAAACTAAGAGCACAAGTATTCACTCGCCAATGTGACGCTGGAGTCTTTTGAAAACTGGACATTGTGTCTGGCTCGGAGTTGCTTCTATCTTTCTTTCGTTGGTCTTTGAAAAAACACTGCAAATGACAAAGAAGCTCGTCAAGATTGTCGGGTGCAGGCATGTTTGTTATTATATTTGTCGAAGGAATTATTCATTTTTCTCTTAGGCAAAGCATCTCGAATCTCTGCCAGTCCATTTTCGTCTTCTTAACTGTGTACTACCATAAAATTCTCAAACACTGACTAGAATCCTCTTCGATAAGATTACGAGTTAGTTTCTTCATCGCCTTCGTTCACAAATAAACACAGTTTAAAATGTTGAAGGACAAAGTGAAAATCTCAGTCCTCAAGGTTGGTAGACGTCTTGTAACTTAATTTCAACCTTTGTTTCCGGGGTAAAGAGATTTTGAGCTCCGAAATGAGCATTTTCTTTTAAATTTTGGTCCGTATAGCAAGTTACCGACCGCAAATTGACCAATCGCACGGCAACAACAGACTCTGCCAAATAATAAACTTATTTACTGAATTTTAATTCAGTAAATAAATCATTATTAAAACAATGATTTATTTCAGACCACACAATTAGGTGGATGCTGATTAGGAAGAACTGTAACATCAAAAATATCAGTCCTTGTCTCTCTACTAAGCAGCCTAATATTTAGCCCTTGAATTAATGGTTTTCAATGTCACGCTATCAAAAATTATAATACAGTAATAATAATAATTGCAAAACTTTGGTTTTCCACCATGAACAGCTTCTTGTTGTGTTCAGTTCTTCTTGTTTTTTTTTTCTTTATTTTTTTTATCGCGCTTCTTTAACGATAACAAAGATCTACAGTTATTAAGATAAAAAGCTATTTACATGATGGCGTCATTTTATCACGACGACCAAAATCCTTGTGCAAATTAAAGTTTTGTTTATTTGAACCTCGCTTAGTCTGCAAGCAAACCCTCCATTTAGGGGAGTCGCGAGAAGTCACGCGAGAGCTGCACGCTATAGGAGACGCGAGTGCGAGGGGCTCTGCTCGCCATGATTGGAGAGCTTGGTCGCAGGTTAAACCTTGCTGGGATTACCAAATTTGAAGATGAAAGGAAAAAAGAAAAGAATTCTGGTAGTAGTAGTAGTGACGTCATCGTGCAAATGGCCTATTAAAGTAAAAAGGGAATACGGGTAACATAAAATTGTGTAACGAAATCGAACGAACAATACAGTTGCTGAAAAATAGTACTTATTTAATTGTGCTCTTTTGTTTTGCAAGACACATGTACAAAGCCAGTCTGAAAACAGTATTCGTTATAAATATATTAACGCATTGTGTAGCTGATGAAGCATTTGACTGACAAATAGAATTTTTATTGTTTTCTCCCTGGCCTTTGGTGGCTTAATATTAGCATATAAATGGTAGTCTCTCATGAAATCTGCTATGTACCAATGATTGTTATGTATAACCAGAAGGCACGTGGCGGTCACGGGTCAGGGGTATGGGAGATTTCATCTTATTGAACCCCCACTAAATTGTGTCACGTTCATGACTTATTACATTACTTTTTAAGCTGCCATTCATTCCTGCTCTCTTTGTCGAACACGTTTGTTTCAGGACGTTTTTCGCAAAATCCTTTCTTCACGTGAGTTCGGTTGGATGTCTAAAGCTTTCAATTTTATCCGGCAAAATGAGCATCTTTCAAGAAGGGCGTGAAGTTTTGAAATATTTGTTTACACCAAACAGTCCAAAAAGTGAGACTTGAAATGACTACTCATGTACAATCAAATTAATAATGAGCAACAGTGAACACTGGCGGCCCAAACTCACGTTACGAGGGAAGGGTGTAGTGTAATTCACACACCATAGGTGACGCGCCGGTGTCGCGTTACATTGTGACAATTAGCACTTACACGACGGGTGCCAGGTCGGAAATGACACGTCAACTAGGCTCTCGCAGTGTGAAAAAGCGAGTGCTTGCACCCGTCGTGTAAGTGCTAATTGTCATAATGCAAATTAGTTGGTAGGCGCAACGCAAAATTTTTTGGGGGGATCACTTACTTGGGAACCAGGCTGAAATCAGCAACCAAGCCTCCTGATGGGTTGGACGGCGTGCGCTCAGATCCCCTTGACGGTTAGAAGTGTGAAAGCAGGGGTACTGGGTACGGAATTTTTTTAAACTTTCGCGGGAAAGTTATCTATCAACTTTTTGGTTTTTTACGCGGGAAAGAAATTATCTCATCGAATGTCGCTGTATGTGTACACGAACGTCCTGTCTTTGCGTTACTCTTTCTTCTTCGAATTAAAATTTTTAATTCTGACAGCAGTCGCTTCCGAAATGAATCCAAAGGAAATCTCCAACCTCGGGAATACTTGCTTTTTGAATAGCGTCCTTCAAGGTCTCCTGTCAGAGACATGTTTTGTAGAAGGACTCGCTGGCGTGAAGCACAATCGCAAGAAGTGCAACTCATCGAGAACAGGTATTGAAAACCTTCATTGTCGTAAATACATACATTGTCATAAATACATGCATGCATATATAATCTTTATTTAAACACGATAGTTTTTTTTTTTTTTTGGGGGATAATAATATGATGTAATTATATCTGTCCAAATATCATAAAGTCAATGATGTTGTAGTTGTTATAGCTTTTAAAGCTCTTAAAGCTTGTGGGGTCGTGTATATCACCTCAAATTAAATTTGAACTCCAATCTATACAGATGCCGATAATTTTTCAACAGTGATTGAAAACAGCTAGTCTTAGTTTGTCAGGATCAAGGTTATACAATAGCACAAAAAACAACTAAAGTCTAATTTCGTAGAACTTAGAAGTTTATTATTATATTTTAAGCTTATTTCATGCTTAAAAGGGGTTGACCAACGCACATTGTAAATTTATCAAGCAAAAAGAGAAGAGTTACAACTTCAAATATTAAAACACTGCCTGCGACTTACCATTCGGTATTACATGTAAAAGTTTCCAGCTTTACTGCAATAAAACCTCCAGTCGGCTGCCAGCAAAACTTGACCGAACATTGCATAGAAATGGCTCAGAAAGGATTGGAAACTAAATGGGAAGGCTTGGTTACTATTCTAAGCTTAGTTTCCAAGCTCCCAAGGAAGCGATCCCAAAAAAAATTTTTGCCCGGCGCGTCACCTATGGTAAGTAATTCCCTCGTAACGTGCGTTTGGGCCGCCTGTGCAGTGAACGTGACGAGCAAGCAAGCACAAAAGACGATAACAACAACAACAAAAGCAATGATGGCGTTCCTTTTATATTACAGTAACGGTTGAAAGTTAAAATATTTTATTTACGCCTTAAATTAAAACTAACACATGTGGATAAATAAAAGATAATTTGTGTCGTACAAGCAGTTTCTGTTCCTCATCACGACCGCCCAATCAGTTGGTAGGGCAACAATGCGCCTGCGCTCGTTCCTCCGAGGATGCAGAACTTCATAAAAGAGCGAGAAATTAAAGCTCAGGGCTAAAACCTCCAACAACTTCTTTCTTCGCCACCCCATCCCCGCTCCCTCGAGATGAAGCAACCTTTTCTTTCACATTACAGAAACGTGCCCATTGAAAATCGTCGCCCGTGAAAAGTGGGGTACCCATTAGGCTTTGCGAGCAAAAACGAGGTTTCAGAGACTACCGTCGTTTTCGGTCTCTTATGAACTTCATAGCAGTTAGCTATTCTCACACTTTCAAGAGGCAATGCAGAAACAATAGAAGTAGGTTGCCACTGTTTTAAGTGTTGAAATGTCTTTGTCATTGCTACAAAGAAGAAAATGTTTAATATGCAAAGAGAAGCAAGTTTTCTTCCTCGTGCACTAACATAAAACCCTCGCGAATTCGGTGGTCTCGTGCGAATTGTTTCGATGGCAAAACAAAAGTATCCTTCACTTAAAAACTCATCTTCACGAAAATCACTCGATAAGATTGAATAAAAATGTTTGCAGCGTTTATAAATATTATTATCAGAAGCGGTATTGTAGTTGTTTTCAAAAGACGGATTAGATCGCTGTTTAGGTTTGGCCATTAAAAATGTAGTTATAGCGTTCTTAAACTAAAGTATCGCTCTTAATTTTGCCTTATACTGTGCTAAAATCAATATCTTAAATGAAAAATGTAAGCGAGAGTGCTTTTTCGTCGAATTTGCCCGTAAATTTTAAGGTTTATAATATTATCCAAAACCTGCGACAAAATGTAAACAAACTGTTAACGCATCGGTTGCGCTCATATTTCATCGATCGATTCGAACCAGTCAGTGCATTGAATTATTTACGGCAAAATCAACAACAATCATCGAGGATTTTTCAGTTTTGAAGCGTTCAACAGCAAAAAGTCACATGCTAATTCGGAGTAAATTTAGACAGTTTTTAAACAGACTGAGCTATTGTTAGTCGCGTGAAGTTCTATTCCGAAGACATACGGACATACGACTTATTTGCCTCCTTTAGAAAAAATGTCAAGCTAGCTGAGTCGTGTACTGACGCACTTCCTTATCTTTTTTCAGAAAGGAAACGAAAAATAAAAATACATTTAGTATCATTAGGGTGCGTTAAAAATAGTTTCCTCCCTCGTCAACGCCCAGATGGAAAGAAAGCGCAACGGGAAGTGAATAAAAACTTCCGTCAGAACACGCGCGTGTAATCTGATTGGTCGATGAAAGAATGTTCACTTCAAGTCACGTGTCCAAATAGTCACTTCCCGTTCATCTGATGGAATGACGTTTTTCCGTCAGCCCAAAAACTTGAAAGCAAAAAATAACCTTGTTTGTTGGTCAAGGAGCTTAATCATGGACTTTATTTCTTCTTTTAATTTACACACTTACTCAAGTAACAGGTAAAATTTTCATTTTTGTATTAATGCTAGAATGACTTCAGATTTTCGCTGTGCTTTAGCTGGTAAGACTAATCTGCAGAACTGCAGACCGTGGAGCCGCGGAACAGGCGGAACCGGCGGAACCTAAAGAAATGACTGTTTTATTACAACTGCCCTTGGCTAACGTGATAAAATAATTAGCTACAATTATATTTTTACAATGACTGAACAATTTCTCACCCGCTGATTGGCCGAGAGCTAATAGGATGATTTAGCATCAGGACGGAAACGTCAGTTGACGACTGGAAAGCGCACGGAAAGGACTAAACACGACTTCCGGTGCCCAATTTGCCGCTCTGGCATCGGTCAAGCCGGTTTTTTAATTTGCGCGCGCCGTCGTCCCGTCTGACGTTCCCGTTCTGTTGCTAAATCAGTCTGTTGTCAATAACAGTACAGACCATAGAAAACTTTTGTCCATTTTGGTTTAGTATCAGTTTAGTATCAGTTTAGTATTACTCTGGTTCCGAAACAGGAAGTCCTCGAATCGCGGACTTCCGGCTTGTTAGTAGTCGTCGGAAGGAAACGAGCGGTATAGATTTAAACACAGTACGATGAGATAACGATAAGGATATTATTGGCGCCTGCCGTCACTTCTAGTGACCGTTGTACATCCACCATACACACAAAATCTTTGCGACCTCCTCAATTTCATTCTCACTATAAACGTATTATTCCATTTACCTAAATACCCTTCATCCCACTATTAAATTTATACTGGTCAAACTGCTCATTCAAATCTTTCTCCTTTATCTACGTCAAGGTGTCCCTCCATGATGGTATCGATCATTGAAATTGTTCTTTATACTAAACCTACAGCCGAACATCTTTACGTTCATCATATCACCCCTTACACACTAAACGAGCTTTTCCATTCAGCCCTGCCCTGAGAATACGACGCATATGTTCCTCGAACGAGACGTACAGTCTCGGTCTCCTCAACCAGGAGATACAACGTGTTCATACTATCACACACTCTCACTCAAGCGACTCACCCACGCGTATTCTTCTAGTTGTCGGATACCACCCAGCCATTCGCTCAATATCATCTATATTTCAAAAGAGCGTTTACACTCTCTCATCCTCCCAACTTTGTGCTACCTTGTTTAAATATATACCTCTCGTTACCTTCCTACGTACTAAGAAGCTGGATATTCGCTAAGTGGACTTCCCGTTTGGAACCAGAGCTCTCGATTAATGTTATGGTGTTATACACTGTTCAAAGCCCTCTATTTTTCGGCAAGATCGTCTAGAAAGAACGCTACTGTCGGCCATTTTTACCGGTCTAGCTTGAACTAGACTTAAAGGACGGGCGGACGGTTTGGGAACCCCGAAGCCCGCTCTCTCCGTTACATTTGAGAGGGTTTCCCAGTGGTAGGCCTTTCCCGATTGCGCTGAGCACCTTTTGAGCACTTTTTTGAGTTTGGAGCACTATTTTGCATTTTGAGCACCCTTACGCATTCTTTCGCACTTTGGGCAACATTTGAGCAATATTTCACATTTCGAGCAAATTTCGAGCAACATATGTCTTCTAAAACATTTTAACGCAAAAACTGTGTGTCGCTTGCAACGAGAATCGTGTTCCAGGTCATAAATTTGAATAACTAATGATGTTGTCAAGAATAAAAGACCGTTGTCATGTTCAGGCACGTGGACTTATCCTCACTGAGCGTGAGAACAGAAGTTTCTGATTGGCTGATGTATCATGCGTGTGTCATCTCAAATTTCTAAATCATCTGACGCTAGTACTGCTGAATTAATTTACAATTCGTAACCGGCTTTAGTTTTTTAAAAATATTATTGTTGTATATTCTATTAACCTTTCATAACAACCTGTCGAATAACACTACGCAAAATAGATTGTTAATTACTTCAGTAAAAATTGACATATTTACGAAAAGCTTAGAGGTAACTGTTCACAACTTTTAGCACTTTTTGAGCACTATTTTGAGATTTTGTGCACTTTTTGAGCACTTTATAGCCATTTTTGCCAGCACTTTTTCAGGATTTTACGAGCGCAATCGGGAAAGGCCTACCCAGGGGTTTTGGGGAACAAGGGAACATGAGCCTTTTTTTAGGGAACAGGGGAACAAAACTGTACAAATTAGAGGAAGAAAACATTTTGATATAAGAAATAGAGAGCGTTATTTCTGAGAGGTTATTTATGGTCATTTATGCACCACTGTCCTTGACACAAGGGATCACAAGAACTCAAACAATGTCAAGGCTCTCAGTTGGGAGTCTGGGTTCAAGGTTACGAGGGTCACAAGTTGACGGGAATCTGTTGTCACAGATTGCCAGGGTTGCAGACAGATCAGTACCCTCAGTTGCGGCGTGCCGCAGGGTAGCATATTGGGTCCTTTAATTTGCTATTATTAATTTACATTAATGATCTTCCCAACTCCCTGCGGGGCACCATACCAAGAATGTTTGCCGATGACACCAACCTTACGTTATCTGCTAAGACGTTAACAGAGCTTAAGCTAGCTCTAACCCCTGAATTAAATAACCTTAGCTGTTGGCTGAAAGCTAACAAGCTCAGTCTAAATGTTGCTAAAACAGAGCTAATGATTATTGGATCAAGACAAAGACTATCTGCCCAATGTGACGATGTAGAAATCAGAATTGATGACCAAATTATCAAGAGACTCGATCAAACCAAATCCTTGGGTCTTACCATAGATGCTCAACTCTCTTGAGGTAAACACGTTGAAGAGATTTGCAAGAAAGTCTCTTCAGCTATAGGCGCGCTAAAACGTGTGCGGCCGTTTATATCCAAAGAAACTGCAATTCAAATTTATAACACCTTAATTATGCCTCATTTTGATTACTGCAGCCCCGTCTGGGAATGTTTGAGTGGTTACGTGAGTGATAAGCTCCAAAAATTACAGAATCGTGCAGCCAGAGTTATTACTAAATCACCCTTTGATGCGAGCTCAAATCACCTTCTCTCCACCCTCAGCTGGGAGAGGCTATCTCTTCGACGAAAGAAACAAAAAGCCTTAATGATGTATAAAACCATGAATGACCTTGCTCCGGAATATCTACAAAGTCTTTTCTCTCAGCGTCACTCTGCTTACAACTCAAGAAACTCTGAGGGAAGGCTGACCCTGTCCAAACCAAGCACCAATTATTTGAAACGAAGCTTCTCTTACAGCGGGGCCATGTTATGGAATAACTTGCCCAAAAACTTAAAAAATGCTGTATCCGTTGAGCATTTTAAGCGAAATATCAAGAAGGTAGCTGATATATCGGATTCCCACACGGCAATCATGTAAAGCCGTTCTAATTAGTTTTAGTTTTTAACTTAAGCTTAACTGATGATTTCCCGTGTTTAAATAAAGATTTACATACATACATTGTTTGCCGATGTGTTGTGCTGGCTGTCAATGCTGCCATTTATAGAAATGGCGAAGAAAAACCAGCAATGCGTTGGTCCTTTGAAATGGGAATCGGGGGCAAAAGTGACAAGATGTTGTTTGATTTTATTTTCCGAGTTAGAGAAGGATTTGGTATCGCAGATCAGTGTAGCCAGCTAAACATAGCGAGATTCAGAGTGACGATCAAGTCACAACGAACTGTCCAAAGGGCAGAGTATTTGAGATTGATCCCCAAGAACAGTGGAATGCAGCGATTTCCAAAGTGATAACGAAGGAGCAGGAGTTAATTGATAGGTTTCCCAAATCTGGCTTAAATTTGAAAAATAGAATAAGCTTTTTATTTATGATCATTCATTACCCGTGTCCATATTATTGTCGAGCGATTCCAACTTAATTTTTTTCTATGTCAAAATATGTGCTAACTGGTCATTTCCCTAAAATGCTATGGTATCTGTCTTTGTAATATAGTGAAGGTGTATGAGATTGAGTTGAAAGCTGCTTATACCCACATCCGCAATTCAGCACAGGCGAAGCGGGCTGGCACATCTGTAGACGGAAATCCTATGCCGACAGTGCCTTCGAAAATAGCAAAGTCAGCAAAGCCTGGCTGTCCAAAAGCAGCTCATAGGATTGAAGACGAAAGGCTGTACAAATCTTTATTTAAATCTCTTTTTAACAGAGCAGCCTACAAGTCGGTCATTTGATTTCGGTAAGATTGGAGAGGTCCAAGGAGAAACTATTTCTAACCAAAATCACTGAATATATATTCACGTCTCCAACGTTTCCATTGAAAAGCAATACCACCCAAGCATTTTGTTGCACCATTCTTGTACTTAACTCTTTGAAAATAGGCAAGTAATGTCATTTTCTGACAATCCTAAGGAACTGTTGTTTATTTAAGCTACGCAGATATCCCTGCCATTTCTTTGTATAGCCTGTGCTACACTGTATCTAGCATCAATTTTGTTTACCTTGTTCATATTCCTTATGCACTAAAGAACAGTAATTTAGCAAGTCCTAAAAAAAACCGTTTTCTTAGGACCTACATCTGTACGAGAGTGAATCCTCACTTTTTTCTCGAAATTCAAACAATTCTATACAGACACCCATTGACTAATAGTTATTAGGACAATGCTAGTAATAATAACTTAAGGAATACAAAAACCTTTTTTCAGTCCAACAGATTCGGTCACAACTAATCTTGGTTAATCTTACTAATACGGTTTCTTTCTTATCAACTGTTTGCTGTAATAAGACCTACAGTGTACATGTGCTTTTTTCAAATTGAAAAAATAATACTATTACTTAATTGAAACAGCATGTCAATGTTCACAGATTGTTAAGTTTAATGATGCTAGTGTCCTGTTTTATTTCTCTAGCAGTACCTTTTAAATTTTTTTTTATGGTCCCCTCAGTGTACTTTGTCTGTATTCACAGAGTTTCACTGTTTGATTAAAAGTAATATATGTCAAACAGTCATACAGACTTCTTGTGAAAGTAGGACATCATCATGAAAATTAACAACAAAAACAGACTGTGATGTACAAGGACTCAGATGCTGTCAACACAGTGTAGATTATATATTTTGTACCCTAACCCTCATTCCTGAATTAATGGTGGAGGAAAATTGCCTGTCCCAGCAACGGTGCAAGTTACTTAATGATTGTTGGATAAGGCAGCTTTAAGGCATGTTATTATATTTCGCTTAGTTTTGCCAATTACATGTACAGTACTTGTTATTATGAAACTTTGCCTCAGAGAGGAAATTACCTCTAAGCAATATCAAATCAAGCTTCATGAAGAACAAACAAATATAATTATGTCTTTCCGGCATTTTTATTTATGTTAGTTATACCAGTGAAGTCGATTCTAGTTAATTTGTTTGTTAATTTGGCCTATCTGTTTCCAGATCTGTAGCTGTTGTTTCATTGAATGATGAGGAATCACGTGATGTGGTTAAGATGGACGGCCGCGTGTTTAAGTGCTCCGCGTAACATTTCGTAAATTTCTGATGTTTAAGTGTTCCTTCTGCTTTTTTCTATTTGTTTTGTTATCTTGTTTCGTGTGTCACATTATGCCTGAGTCTATTGCCAACCTAAAGAGAGAAAATAACGATCTCAAATCTAAAGTTTCAACGTTAACGGAGGAGATTTCAAGACTAAAAGATTTATTTCAACAACAAAGCAGCAGTGCCGCCCCTTCTGCTAAAGAAAAATCTCACAGCCTTGAATTCCTAAGCAAGGAATATGATGACTTTCTTCTCTTCAAAACCACTGCCAACAAAGAGCTGCAACGACTAAGTTCACAACTCTCACAGGTCAAGGCCAGGGTGGACGCCATTGCAAACGCCATCGATGAATTCCAAGAATATAGCTTTCAATACAATGTTAAAATTGTCGGTGTTCCCGAGGTGTGTTCTGACGAAGCGGCTTCAACAACAAGTAAGCTTTGTGTAAAATTGTTTAAAGAAATGGGAGAAAATATATCAATCCAAGATATTGACACTGCCCATCGTGTCCCGCAAAGAAACAACGCCGGAAATCCAAAGCCTATAGTCTGCAGATTCGTGAGACGGCTGGTTAAGGAATCTCTAATGTCTCATCGGAAAGAAATTAGCAATGTAACCCCAGCTGCGGTTGGTCTACCAGAAGGGTCTTCATTGTCTTCGGCCAGAATTTACGATCATCTTTCACCAAGAATGCAAGCAGTCCCATTCCAGGCTAAAAAGTTAAAGAAGAGCTCCACTATCAATATTGCTGGTCAAAGGGCCCCGTTATTTGTTTACGAAAAGACTCCACATCGCGGATAATCAAGCTCAAGAGCATGGCGGACCTCGACGAACTTAAACGTAAATTGGCCATTGAAGGTTAGATTTTACTAAAAATGTCTATTGTACACGATAAAAATGACTTCTCACAAAACAAAGAAACAGTGCGCGATCGAGAATAAGACCTTACTCGCGCAATTACCATATTATAACTGTAAAGTCCTGACTTCTGCCCACCCACAGTTTAATAGTTTAATTGATGATAATCGACCTTCTAGAAAATTGCTAGATTCTCTCAGTAGTCTCTACGACCTTAGTGTATTCCAGCTAAACTCTCTTGATAAACATATTGATCCTGATATAAATCTCACCTCAAACAAAATACGCTCAAAATATTATTCCCCACACAGCTTTGCGCAGTTTGTTGACAGCAAACAGTTGCAATCAAAAATCTCCTTTTACATACAAATATACGTAGCTTAAAGAAAAATTTTGAAGAATTTCAACATCATGTTTTAAGTGAAATGAATTTCCGTTTTACTATTATTGGTGTTACAGAAACTCGTATATGCGATCGTGAATGTAGTTTTAATTTTGTACCAGAATTACCAGGATACTGTTTTGAATCGGTCCCAACACCTTTATCTGCCGGTGGTGTTGGCCTGTTCATTGATCAAAATTGTAAATACCGCGTCCTTGAACGAGTCTCCAATTCTTGCTATCAAGCCCTATGGATTGAACTTCATCTGCCTAACAATAAGAAATCTGTATGTGGTGTTACTTATAGGCAACACAATAACGCTAATGAGTTTCTAGAATACTTGACAGATTTTCTTGAACGCCAATGCCGTCAAAATCAAAATATTTATCTCATGGGAGACTTCAACATAGATCTGTTAAAATATGAAACTTGTAGTTACACACAAACCTTGCTCCAAACAATGCAAAGTTTTTTCAATGTTCCCAGTGGTTGATAAGCCGACTAGAGTCTATGGTAATTCAGCAACTTTAATTGACAATATTTTCATAAATAATCCTGAGAATAATATAGTCAGCGGCAATATCGTGTCCGATACAACAGATCACTTCTCTCAGATGTGCATATTATCGTCGCACTGTAAACCATTCTTTCCAAACAACAAAACTAAGGTTCGTGACTATTCTACCTTCAATGCAAAGTCTTTCATTGACGACTTGCAGAATATTAATTGGAATAATATTTGCAAACATATCGATGCCAATCAATCGTTTTCCAGGTTTTACAAATGCGTCAACAAGACAATTAACAAACACGCTCCTTTAAGAAGTATATCCAATAGTAAACAAAAATTCCTTGCTAAACCATGGCTGACGGCGGGTTTAAGAAAATCAATCAGGGTAAAGAATAACCTCTTCTATACCTCAGACCGTGACAAATACAAATTTTACAGAAATAAAATCATTTATCTTACGAGATTAAGTAAAGCGAACTACTACCAAAGTTTCTTTGATCTCAACATATGTAATATGCGTCAAACTTGGAAAGGAATTAACGAGCTAATTGGAAACTGTAAAAAGAAAAACAAGCGCAACTCAACTAACTCTATTCGCTCAAACCCGAATGAGGTTCCAACTAGTGACCCGAAGGAAATAAGCAATATTCTTAACAAATATTTCGCCACTGTTGGGAGCAAACTGGCTTCTAAAATTCCTCAGACCATAAATACATTCTATGATTATTTAGATCCGCCACTTAATCGCACTTTCTTCTTTGATCCTATTATTCCGGAAGATATCAATTTAGAAATTTCAGTTTTGCAAGACAACAAGGCCCATGGTCTCTACTCATCTCCAGTTAGGCTGCTGAAATTAGCAAAAAGGGTCATATCCGTACCTCTAGCCACGATTTTTAATCAGTCTATTTGCTCAGGGATTTTTCCATCTAAACTAAAGTGTGCTAAGATTATCCCGATATTTAAGGACGAAGATGACACGCTGCCCGAAAACTACCGACCTATTTCTCTGCTCTCGATTTATAACAGGATTTTTGAAAAACTTATGTACTCCAGAGTTACCAAGTTTGTCAAAGATTGCAACATTCTCTATGATCAGCAATACGGTTTTCGCAGTAAGCACAGTACTCAGCATGCTGTACTTGATATTGTTAACACAATTCTCCAAAACATGGACAACGGTAAATTTTCGTGCGGTGTTTTCATCGATCTCAAAAAGGCTTTTGATACTGTTAACCATGAAATTTTGTTAGCTAAACTTGAAAATTATGGTATTAGAGGTGTAATAAACTCCTGGTTCAGATCATACCTGACTGATCGGAAGCAAACTACGGAAGTTAATAATGTTGTGTCTGAGGCTGAAACGACCTTGTGCGGCGTGCCACAAGGCTCAGTCCTCGGACCACTCTTATTCCAATGATATTTACAAGTCCTCTTCGTTATTTGCCTTTTATCTATTTGCTGACGATACTAGTATAATACTTGCAAATAACAACCTAAAGGAACTCGAAACACTTGTTAATCGCGAGCTTGGCAACGTCAACGAATGGCTAAAGGCCAGCAAACTGTCCTTGAACATAAAAAAATCAAATTTTGTAATCTTTCGTCCCCGGCAAAAGAATATGCCCTTCATACCTAGGATTAGAATTTTTGATTCCGTGACTAACACCTACGCAAACCTTGAAATGAAAGATTATGTAAAATACCTTGGCTTAATGATTGATTCAAATCTTTCATGGAAATACCACATCGAATCTGTCTGTCACAAAATCAGCAAGTCGATAGGAATTATAGCTAAAATTCGACATTATGTCCCGCGTCGTGTTTTACTTTCAGTTTACAACTCATTAATTGTCCCTTACTTGACTTATGGTATTTGTGGTTGGGGAAATTGTGCCTTGACATTTCAACG